GAACAACGAACAACGTGGTTCGTGTCAGTGGCCCACCCTTTTACCCCACCCATTGACTTCCTGCTTCACTGGACACTGCTGTTAGGGGGTATGGATTTACTTGAAAGATGAAAGCATAAATTAGAGAGAGATTAGCATAGAGTATGTGTTTTCTTATAGCTGCATCCTTTGAGTATCCCTCCAACACCATCTCCATCAGATACATGACGCTTGGGAGGTATGACTGTTTTAGTGTTTTTGGTCGATAAGATTCTGTAATTAGGCCCCATCATATTTGTCAGCACCAGGCCCACTGGGCTCTTAATCTGGCCCTGACTGGGATTTAGTATAAGGGGAGGACTGGGATTTAGTGGGGGGGGGGTGGTGCTGTAGTTTAGTAGAGGGGTGCTGTTGTTTTTTTTTTTAAACTGTACTTTTTAAAATAAACCTACGTTTCTATGAACATTTAAGTTTGTTTGTTTTTTGCGGCCCACATAAACTTAAACCTTGTTTATTTGGCCCGTGCTAGACTTTGAGTTTGACATGCTTGCACTAGACTATGCCTGTGAGTTGAGAGGTTGGTACATCATTCTATCACTTTAAAGATATTTGCATCCTTTATTCGTTCTCCTGTTCAGTTACCAGATTCCAGGATCATTGTTCTTCTTATGTATCAGTGATACACAAAGGGGATTAGTTCACAAGTAATGGTGTTCCATATTCCCATTCAATTCATTCATTCTTCCTGAGTCTGACTCGATGAAGGCTACAATAGTAAGGTTATCCATTCAAAAAGGCTGCCACAATACACTGTACTTTTATTTATATTAATTATTTATCTGGTATTTATATATCATCAACATATTCGCCAGCACTATAGAATAGGGGGAATAGAGACAAATAATGAACACATACTGCTACAAAAAGTGCAGGGGGGAAGGACGGGGGATGCCCATGTGTTTACAATCTAGAATTAATAGTATTTAGATTGCTGAGTGCCTTTTAGACAACAATGAATTGTCAATGCTTTCATGTAACAGCCTGTCTTACAGTTAGCGTTAGTGTACCAATGTACACAAATGGTTATTTTTCAAAAAACTTCTTTGTCTATGGCTACAGTACAGTTATCTACTAAACGACTGTGAGATGCAGCCAGAGCTTGGAATAGTAACTGAATGTTGACCCAATTTTATCTGAAAATTAAAGGGAAAGGATGAGTATAGACGAAAGAATATGGAGGAAATACAGAAAATGATGCTTGTTTATTAATTCTTTATTTTGCAGTGCAAATGGGTAAATACAGACATACTTGTGAACCAACAACAGCATATACAAGTGATTCAACAACTGATATTGTGATACAAATTGTGACATGACTGGGCATTGCACATTTTTATAAAATAAAACAGGCGAGGTTATCTCATCAGAATGTGAATGATATTGAACAAGTAACCAAAGTGGACTAGGTGTAATAAAACATTACAGCAAGATATCCTGCACAGAGACATAGATACAACAGGCTTGATAATAATCATGCTTACTAGAACTGGGTTATACAGCTACTTTCAGGAACATAGGAAGTACAAAATGAGTGCCAGCTGTGCCCCTTAGAAGATCCTGTGTATAGGAGCACCAAACAAGCTAAGTGTTGGGCTCAAGATGCCAGCCCTGAGTAATACGGACTGTGAGGGAAGTTGCCTAACAGAGAAAAATAAAACTTAAAGGAAT